GGTCAAAGAAACTATATTATGACTCAATCTCAGTCTATAACAATCACTTATAAAAAGCTGTTATTATTCTAAATGTTACTGCCTTTTGTCCACTTCAACAAGCTCCAGTATGCCCAAGGGTATTTAAAGTAAGAGCTCCCAGAAATCACACTCAATTCGCTCCTTGCAAAACCAGCTGATGATTAAGTATTGTTGTACATGCAGACCACTATAGGGATTGAGCTTTTAGAAAACTAACAAGACTGTTTTTCTTATATATAGTGCGCAAAAGGCAAAATGTTCTGCTCACAGTCAGGACTGAGTTTACTGCACCTCCCCATTATAAATGCAGTTTATAGTTGAGTAAAAGATTCATTATTTTTATTCGCATTCTAGAATCCCATCTTAAAATGATTTTTTTTTTTAATATTAACCAAAATCCCTGCAAATTAAAACAATTAAATGAATAGCAGTCAAGCTGAAGTCAAGAAGAGCTCTGAATCATTTTAATAGACTGTGTTTGATGTTCAGGTCTTTTCCAGAGGGTTTAAACCGCTGATTTTTATTTGGCAAAATTTTTTTGAAGCTGAGAAGTAGAAAATAATGTGGGGAAAAAACTTTACACACACTGTTTAATCTCTCTGTATATTTTTAAAGCTGTGTATCTCTTCATGTAATAAGTTAATTATTTATGGCATACTATTAAGGTTATTCAATGTATGTTTAAATATTAAAATTATGAATGATTCATAGAAACTGTCATATTTAGATTTACACGGTAAAAAATGAATTGGTTAAAAGTGAGTAAACCTGCTATTGTTAAGTTGACCTAATTGTAATAATTATCCACATAGTTAATTGACTTAATCATTTTAGGATGACGAGTTTACTCACTTTAAGTAAAGTCAACTGGCCCATGCTTGCATTAAATAATATACTGACACAACTCTGATAAATGGTTATAAGCAATTAAAATGATAATGATATCCTATAGGCGAAGCAGTGGCGCAGTAGATAGTGCTGTCGCCTCACAGCAAGAAGGTTGCTGGGTCGCTGGTTCGAGCCTCGGCTCAGTTGGCGTTTCTGTGTGGAGTTTGCATGTTTTCCCTGCGTTTACGTGGGTTTCCTTCAGGTGCTCTGGTTTCCCCCACAGTCCAAAGACATGTACAGATGAATTGGGTAGGCTAAACTGTCCGTAGTGTATGAGTGTATGTTTGAATGAATGTGTGTGGATGTTTCTTAGAGATGGGTTGCGGTTGGAAGGGCATCTGCAGCGTAAAAGAAATGCTGAATAAGTTGGTGGTTCATTCCGCTGTGGTGACCCTGGATTAATAAAGGGACTAAGCCGTCAAGAAAATGAATAATAGCCTATAGATAAAGGTCGATCGGGTGGTTAAGATGCTTGTTAAAGGGTTAAAAGCTATAGGGTTACTCATTTTTTTGAACAAAGTCAACTTGTCGTTTTTATAGAGTACAAAAATAAGCCATAATAGGCAAAATCATATATTTTTATTTCTAATTGTGCCTGTGCATGATGATTCTACTCCGTTTTAGATTTGTGAGGTTTTATAAACAGAATTCAGGAGAAGCACGATCAGTTTTGCTAAATTTTGCTAATTTATTATTGACAATCATTCTACACTAAAAAAATCCAACTAGAAAAAAGTTGAAATTACTTGTTTATTTGTTTGTTTGTTTGTTTGTTGTTAGTGTTGGTTTGGCAAAAATCAGTAAAAATGTCTGTACAACTACATTTAACACGTTTACTTAACCTCAATCAAAATTGTCTTCATTAAAATAATAATAATAATATAATTATAATTAATATAATTAGTTTTGTAAGCAAAACTTTGCAAATTTAATCAAAAAAGATTGAAGGTTGTCTGATATCCATTTTCTTATTCTGTGCTGTGTATCAGCAGAATCAGAGCTGCAAGATTGTTGCCGCACTTCTATAACAGCGAGAAAATAGCAATAAGTATTTCGAAGTAAATCAGTTTCAAATCAGTGTGGTATGCAAAGCAAATGGCAATTCTCACTATGCCTCTGTGGATTAAATAATTTACAGCGCATTAGAAACTCTATAGACTCTTTCTATGACTGCCAGCAAATGTAATTTCCCATTCGGGCTGAGCAATTAATAGTAGGTGAATTTCATGCATAGTTTTTCAGTTAAGCCGATTCTGTAATCAGTAGTAAATCTACAGCATGTGCTGTCACATGGAGCCAATTCACAGACAAGCTACGCAATTAATCTTAATATCCAAATTGCTTCTTTTATCCTCACTTGTAAGCCGCTTTTGATAGAATCATCTGCTAAATCAATAAATGTAAACATAAACATGAGGCACTCGGTGTTATTGCATCATGTATTCAAGAGTATGTGCTAATTAATAAAACAGAAAGCTAATTCATGGAGACCAAACATTCTCCACAGTGTCTGAGTGCCACGTGCAGCAAACCCAACATGAGTTCACAGCGTCTCCTAGAAACATCACTGAGCTCAAGCTGGTTTCCTGCAGTGTTTTGATTCACACATTCATCCTTATTCTAGACTTGAACGCTATTGTTTACTTCACGTACTGTATTTTCTAGTAATTATTTCCTCCCAACAAAGGTGTTCAACACTAGAGCGACAGGAAGTTTTTTTTTTGCACTGTAGGTGTTTGCTTGAATTGAGTCCTCCTTACAGAGAATATGAAAGTAAATCATAAACTCACACATTAATATTCATGATTAGTAAACTCTACCGGTTAATGTTGGACTGATGAAACTGCAAGATGTTTCTGAACAACAGCATCTGTCCTGTTTTTTGCACCGCAATCACAAGAGGAAACTGAGCTTTGATGAGAATATTTTTTATGCGCTGACTACAAGAACAGAATATGCTCATGAAATGACAAAAACTACTTTCCATCAATTACTTTGTCTCTTTTCAGAAGATCAATGGCTGGCATTGTGAAGATAGTGGGGTATTCTGCAGACACATAAACCGATCCTTTTGTGCTGATATTTCACATACTGTGAAAACGATTTAATACATCAATGTGATTATAGAGAACAACGTGCATGCAATACCAAAAAGTGAATAGCCAATCAACACATACACTTGTACACTGGCATGAAAAACATGTTGTGTATAAGCATGATTGTAGCTCATACTGTACATTCTTTTAGCAATGTGAAAGATGTCTCTTTTGAGGTAGAAAATGAGCAAAATGTCTCGAGATGTATGTCAGAAAACACTGATTACTTGAAAAACATCAGGGCAAATCACATGTACATTTGAAGTCAGAATTATTAGCCCCTATAAATTATTATTAACCCTCCTGTTAATTTCTTCCCCAATTTCTGTTTAACGGAGAGAAGATTTTTTTTCAACACATTTCTAAACATAATAGTTTTAATAACTCATCTTTAATAACTGATTTATTTTATTTTTGTCATGATGACAGTAAATAATATTTTACTAGATATTTTTCAAGACACTTCTATACAGCTTAAAGTGACATTTAAAGGCTTAACTAGGTTAATTGGGTTAACTAAGCAAGTTAGGGTGATTAGGCAGGTTATTGTATAATGATGGTTTGTTCTGTAGACTATCAAAAAACATATAACTTAAAGAGGCTAATAATTTTATCCTTAAAGTGGTGTTTAAAAAATTAAAAACTGCTTTTATTCTAGCCAAAATAAAACAAATAGGACTTTCCCCAGAAGAAAAATATTATCAGACATACTGTGAAAATTTCCTTGCTCTGTTAAACATCATTTGGGAAATATTTTAAAAAGAAAAAAATCAAAGGGGGGCTAATAATTCTGACTTCAACTCTACTGTATATAGATCATTATTTTATCACTTGCATATGGGTCAAAGATGGAAAGGTGTTTTAAGCATCAACACTTTCAAAGTTTAATACAACTATATATTTTTTCCAAGACATTAGAATGTGCGCTGTTTATTTGCATTTGTTTGTGAGCAAAAGCTAATGACTACCATACATTTCTTACCATGATTTACCACTAAAAAGCCATTCTTTGTAACAGTAGTTTCTTAACCAAAACTTCTTGTTAAGTATATTTAAAACAAGAATCATTCGATTGCATATTTAAAAACTGTATTCAAGCATATGAAACACTTGTTGAAATACAAAATTGTCCTTTTAAATATTTATACTATTTATATTTATACCCAACATAGGCTCATTCTGAAAACGTAGCCCTATATGTGCAATTCAGTTTAGTTTATTTTTATTTCTGAAGCACTTTTACAATGTAAATTGTGTCAAAGCAGCTTAACATAGAAGTTCTAGTATCAGTCCAAATTTCAGAGTTTAAGTTCAGTTTAGTTCAGTTGAGTGTGTTTTAATGTTTACTGCTGGAAGTCCAAACACTGAAGAGCAAATCGACTGACGTACATAAGTCCCAAAGCAAACAAGCCATTGGTGACAGTGGTGAAGACAAATGTCCTATACATTTCTGGAGATTGTGAATTATGTAGCTAGAAGTACGCATGGCTGCATTTTGTCTTTAAAATGAACACGACAGGATAGTATGACGCGATAGATTTTTGTGCTTGCCAGCTGACCGCCTGCCTCCGTATAGACAGCTTGTTCGCAGTTAACAGTTTGTCCTGTTAGTTTATCATGTATGTCGGCGGACTTGAGATGTAGAGAAGAGTTCACCATGATGGCGGAGTTAGAGTCCGGTAAAGAACAAAATAAACAAGTAAATAACAGGGTGAGAATGTGGTAAAATCTAAAAACGTGGAAAAAATCAGGCAAGGGCTTTTTCTTCTCTGAATTGCTTCTGAAAACTGTTAGTTGGATTTAGAGAAGTGGGTGGGGGCTAGTCAATCGGTGCTTTTGAAAACACTATTGGTTGGGTTTAGAGAAGGAAGAGGGTGGGTCAGTCGAACGATCAGTCAGTCATTCAGTCAGTTAAACATTCAGTCGACATCGGCCTCTGGTGGATTTATGTGAGAATAACAGGCACGAATGGCACTCACAGGAGAAATTTGAGAACTGAAAAAGCATACACAGCAGCCTTTGATAGATTCGCAAAAACTGCAATAAAAAAAACTGCTCCTGGGACGTGTTTGGCTCTCTAGAAGTGTATATAGTGGTACGTTTTTAGAATGAGCCTGGGTTGTATTTACCACCACAATCTAACAGGAATTCGTAACTTTTTGATTTAGTGGCTAATTCGTATGAACTCTTGCAATCTCATTTGTACAATTTAGTATGATTTGCTTATCCCTCAATGATGGTTGTGTTTAGGGCAGGGGTTGGGCCTTCTTTATAAAACTGAACATTTTTGTTCAGTCATTTAGCAAAACATAAAATAATAAAAATACTACATTTCCTTGCAAGATCAGGCTGGGATTTACAAATTTGACAGCAAGACGCTTTTAGTCATTTGAGGCCAGATTAAGTATGCTGTTTCATTTTTACATAAAACACATGTGTTACACTCATGACTGAACATTTTCATCCATGTTTTGTCTTTTCATTTAAAAAAAAAGCTGATATATTAAACAGTTTTTTGTCTTTGACCTATATATGTTTGAGGTCCTTTTAAAAATTGTTGCACTGATTGCATAATAAGATTTCTATTTGAAATAAATGCTGATCTTTGCATTCATTAAGGTATCCTAAAAAGGTATTACAGTTTCCACAAAAACATTAAGCAGCACAATTGTTCGCAACATCAAGTAGCACTTAAATAATCATCAAATGATTGCCAAATCAGCATATTAGAATGATTTCTGAAAGATTGTGCATAACACTGCCAACTCACCGCTAAGCAGATTTGTCATCACAGGAATAAATAACATTTCAAAATACATTCAGTAGAGCACAGCTATTTAAAACAGACATTAAATCGCAGATTTATTTTACAGACTCTTTAACTGCAGTCTTCGTGAGAAATAAACAATTAAGAAATCTCACACCAACCCCAAAGTTTTTAAACTAATATTTAGAGCTAATATAAAAGCCTTGCCATAATTAGGTCTTGTTTGCATCATATCTTTTCCACGGCACAGAAATGCGTCAAGGAAAATGTGCATCATCACATATCCCCTTCGACCCTTAAAATCTGTTAATGAGCAATTCTGCGAGACGCTTCATCGTCGTCTCTCCAGCCGCGTGCTCATTACGGACACAAAGAATGTGTTCGTGTGACTCAGTGCAGATTCCCAGGTGGAATAATATTGTCAGTGCACAGCCACAGTAACCGGCAGCAGCTCTCGAGATGATTGGGACTGCTGGGCCACGTCAGGGGCCAAACGCAGACTGACACTCCCATCGGCCGGATCAGCCCGGAAGTCCTTGTGGGCCGGCCGGATGGCAACAATAAACTGCCTTTTGAAAGTCTCGCTGAGCATGATGTAAAGAAGAGGATTAATGCAACTGTTGGCGTAGCCCATGCTAATGGCGACATTATAGGCAAATAGAAATGCATAGCTGGGCCGTTGCACACTCAGATGTGCCAACTGCAGGATGTAATGAGGCGCCCAACAAATGAAGAACGCCAGGCAAATGGCAACGGCCATCCGAGTGACCTTTCTAGTGCGCACACGTAGGCTGTGTTGGGGAAGTGGTGCAACCGTGGCCGCCATGTTTTGGAGGATCTTGAAAAACACCACGCAAATGATCACCAACGGCAAAGCGAACGCCAACACAAACTGGTAGAGCGTAAACCAGTAGGTGTCTGTGGCTGGATTGGGAAGAAGCAGAGCGCATCCCATTGATCCATCCCGTAAGGGCATGAGACCCGCATACATCCACACTGGGGTGATGGAGAGCAGTGAGAGGATCCACACCAGCGCTACTACTGCCACGGCTACACGGGGAGTGCGAATGTGATTAAAGCGGATGGGATGGACTGTCGCCAAGTATCGGTCCAAAGTCATGACTGTTAATATATAAGTGCTCACGATCTGGCTGTTAGAGTCCAGCGCTGTGATAACAGTGCACATGGTGGCACCAAAACACCAGGAGCCGTTGCCTACTAGCTGGTGAATGAGGAACGGCATGCCCAGGAGGAACAGAAGATCAGCAATGGACAGGCTGAAGATGAAGATGTCGGGCACAGTTTGTTGGGCTCTGAACTTTGTCTTTTTGACGATAGTGTAGATGACGATGCAGTTGCCTATAATGCCCACGAAGCAGATGACTCCATAAATGCTTGGCATGAGGACATTGTGATATTGCTCGTCATTGTCTGCAGGAAACAACAGAGAAGTTGAAGTGTTTGTCAATGTAAAGTGCTTTATTACACTGTAAAACAGTCAACTTTATCAAATGAAATGAGTGTAGTTAACTCAAAATGTACTAAACGTTAATGCGTTTTGAACTCAGTGTTGAAGTATTAAGTTAATTAAGTACCTCATTACTTTAACTTAAATGGAGTAAGTTCACAGTACTCATATAGATTAGTTTTTTAACTCAAATGGTTTGTTGCAAACGGTTTCTTCAAACAGTTTGAGTTCTTTTCATTTATCAGGTTTTACTGTGCTCAAACTGCCTCATTTACTCAAATGTAACTCAATAGGATTAGCTTTTATAAATAAATGGTTTGTTGAAATTGGTTTCCTCAAATGGTTTAAGTTAACTTAACTTTTTGAGTTTTACAGTTTAATATATATTATTAGTGTAAAAAATTGTAGTTTTTTGTGGTCAGAAATGTTAACAGTGCATAAAAGGTTAACTGTAATGATTCATGAGTACACTTATGTTGAGAAATGGCACATCTTTAACATCTCATAACAACCTCAAATTAAGAAAAACATTTTACAGGGGAAGGTTGTGTTTGCAGTGGAGGTTTGGGTTATTTAACTAGTTCTTCCAATATTAATTAAGCGCAAATTGAGTAAAATAATGACTGAGAGATCATCTTGAAGTGAATATTTAGCTATATTGACTTTGGATGCTATTCTGTTTTTGCACAGTGCAAGAAAAGGGCCAAGTAAACATAACATAGCTGCAATTTAGGCTGAAATGGCACCCTTTTTGTTATCTTGTTCCTGTATCTGTAAAAGTTAAAATGTCTTGTTTTTACTTTCTGTATCTATTTGAAAATGAAGAAAGTGTTGTCTAAAGACAAACTTCTGTTTTTATAAATAAATATTCATTTAATAACGTTTAAGAATAACGTAGGCTATTATTTCACTATCAGAGATGCGCGTATTGTAGCTCACTGAATCTGCTGTTAATATCCATGTTGACCTATCATCATGCCTAAAGCAAATAATTAAATTATTAAAGTGATGATCGTGTGTGGACACATATATCAGATTAAACTAAATGTGTGGGCGGGTGGCAGGAAGATGATTTGTATATGGCTGTGGATTCGGGTGTCATTTCAGCTGATCCGCGCATCTCTAGTTTGCAATCGTTTCAACCACCCCCCACCCCTATTATTCAGTTTGAGATCGTCTCCCATTTCCATTTCTGCGCGGTACTGCACCCAAGACCGCCAACCCCTTTCTCCCAGATTTTTTAGAGACAAATGTTGCCAGGTATGGTCTGCAAAATAACCGATATAAACTAATATAAAACTGTGGCATAGGTCAAGTGCATAAATCACACCATGGACATTACATCAAGATGCCTACTGGTTTAAAAGGGCCTAGATTAAAAGAAGATGGCCTAATGAGAACTTTTCTGTCATAAACTATAATAAAACAACTTGTCAAAAAAAAATTTAAAAATGAAACTCTGTGAACACATTTAATACAGGAAAGGAGAAAAGGGCGCTCTTTTATTATCAGCTGTCAGTCAGCACCCATTTTTTTTTCCTGGTCATTGTGTCTTTGCCATGTAAACTCAGATACTCAGATACGAGTCACTTTTAAAAGATGATGTAAGCAGATCAGCAAAAAAATCCGATACAATTACAAAATCAGAATTGACCATTAATATCTGCAGTGTAAATGCAGTCTTTATTGCAACCTTGCTTCAACACACTCACCTGTAGGTTTCAAACCAGACTAAATGACTCAAGTAGATGGATCAGGTGTGTTTAATTAGGCTTAGAACTAAACTGTGCAAAGCTGCAGCCCTCCTGGAACTGAGTTTGACACCTGTGGGCTAGGCCATCTGACCAATCAGACCTGAGAATTTGTGCATGAAGGCAGGGTTGATAATGAAGGCACCCAAATGAATTGCTCGAGACTTTGCAAAATAAGATGATGTTGTCACACCTGTAGCCAGTGGGGGTTCGGGTGGTTCGAAAGACCTACCCCTCATTTACAAAGGTTTAGAATCTGTCTCATGCATGAGCTAATTTGTCCTATTTTGACTGCTATGCTATCATAAATTGTGAAAATAACCCATCAAAAAAGGCATTAAGACTAAGGGGAATCCTCTGTTGGCTATCGTGACTTCAACTATTCAGTTCTGAACAATGCAAACAATCATTTTTCATGAGTTCAAAATCCAGCTGTGCGAGAATACATACAATCTGACTTGAGTGATGTCATCTTTCACTACTGACCAACTGTATTGTTGCAAATGAGAAAACATTTTACAAGTAACTTTTATTCAAATTTTTGGGCATTATTCTTGAAACAAAAAATGACAGATAAAAATGTGAAGCACCAAAAGCGGCCCATATGAAATTAATTTGAATACTAATTTGGCTTTTGTTATCCATGAATTTTCAAATGTACTTTCTTACAAGAAAGGCTAGAAAAATCACAAAGCTCTATATTATTATTATGTATTCAAATGGACAAATTCTGACTGAGGAAATGTGCTGTCCAGGTTGTTATTTGCCTAATAAATGACAATAGACTGCAGTTTTTAATTTTAAACATTAACACATTCCTATTTTTTCTAATAATATATGATGTAAGAAATTTGTATTATAAAATAAGTATTTAAGTATTTCAAAATAAGCATTTTTTCTTTATTCTAAATCTTTAGGAAATGTTTTTGCCACATCAAAAATGTGCTTATGATGACCATCCGTCAATTCAGTTAAAAATCAATAAATCACTAAAATGCACTATTTAGGTCTATAAATTTAGTAAAAAATTAGGTGAATAAATTCAAAAAGGTCCACTTTTTGAGAAAAAAATAACCACCCCTTTCATCAAGCTGGCTACAGGCCTGAAAGTGTATATTATGAGAAAATGAAAGTGTTATTTGACCTTGTATGCAAATGTCGGTCAAGTAGACAAACCCAAATGTTAGGTCATAATTTAAAGTAAATTTGAGTTCAAACTAATTAGCATATTTTTACAGCATGGCATACTGTATGTTTTAAAGGGGGCGTATTATGCCAAATTTTACAAGATGTAAAATAAGTCTCTGTTTCTATAGTGCGTAAGTTTCAGTCCAAATTAACACACAAATAATATTTTATAACTCTTTGAATCTGCCCCTTTTAGGCTTTGATCCAAACTGCGCTGTTGTGGTGAACGGCGCTTTAAATTCAAATGAGATTTTGCTCTCAGACCTTTTATTCAAAAATTTGAAAAATTTAAAACTGTAATGGCGGACGGCTGCTTCTCACTCAGAGCTGTTTATGCTAAGGAGGTAGAGATCATCACTAATGGGCGGGGCTTGTTTTTGACATTCTGGGAATGTCAATCAAAGTGTTTCTGTTTTTATAAAGTAAGATAATAAAAATTAGAATCAATTCACATTCAGAATTAGAAGCTTGCTATGTTTACACACAGTTGCCACACAACACCTTATAAAAGTGAATTTTGATTAATACTCCCCCTTTAAAAATGTTTTTAATTTATTTTTAAACTTAAACAAGTAAAATTAGAAACCATTTTTAAACATATATAAGAGTAGTCTCTATAGCAACTGATATTATTTTGCATAAGTCTATTAGTGTCATGTGCTAGCTCCCTAACGTCTCTTTAATTTCACATAATGAACTAATTATCTTCATAATATTTAATGTCTGGGTATTAATTTGTGCGGTAGGCTGTAGAGTAAGCCATGTCATTATCGCACAATAAAGCCAGTCAGAATGAGTCAAGGCCTTTCACTATTGGGGTCTTGAGCATTTTGTCTGCATTTATTTTGGTTAAATGACTGACTGAGCTTTATCTCTGCCTGTGAGTCATGAAACAGAAAAATACTAATGAATCTAATTAAGGACATTACATTGAAAAGAGCTATTTAACACTTCAAATGACTTGTTGTTTAGCCTTGTCACATTATACACACGTCAAAAACTCACTGGCCACTTTATTAGCTATCCAACTGCTCGTTTAAGCAAATTTCTAATAAGCCAATCACATGGCAGCAACTCAATTCATTTAGGCATGTAGAAATGGTCAAGACGATCTGCTGCAGTTCAAACTGAGCATCAGAATGGGGAAGAATTTAAGGATTTTAGTGACTTTTTTTCAAATGTGGCATGGTTGTTGGCGCCAGACGGGCTGGTCTGAGTATGGGATTTTCACGCACTACCACCTCTAGGGTTAACAGAGATGATCAGAAAAAGAGAAATCATCTCTGACTAGTTTCTTGAACATGACAATGAGTTTAAATGGCCTTCACAGCCACCAAATATAAATCCAATAGAGCACCTTTTGGATGTGGTGGAATGGGACATTTGCACCATGAATGTGACACCAATAAATCTGCAGCAACTGCCTGGTGCTATCTTGTCAATATGGACCAACATCTCTGAGGAATTTTCCAGTACCTTGTTGAATTTATGCAATGAAAGATTAAGGTAGTTCTGAAGGCAAAGGGGGGTCCAACTTTAGAAAAATAAGATGTACTAAATAAAGTGTCAGGTAAATGTATGTTTGACAGAGAAAAGCTTGTTAATTTGCCATATGATGCACATTTTGGTAGCTCAACAAGACAAAAAAAGTGTATTTACCTCTATTTAAATGTTGAGATGAATTAAACTCATTACTGGAATTTTCACTGGGAGTCATGTTGAAATCCATCACAATCTGAAACATGAAATAAAAAGTACTTATTAATACACTCTTGTCAAATGCGATATGGATATTTTTCAAAACATATTTAGGGAAAAATAAAGAAATGTCCAACCTATTATTATGTAAATTGATTATTAGCAGCCTGTTTGTTGATCTACAGAATCTGATTTTAGACAATTGTGCATGCTTAAACCTAAATGTAAGACTTATTTTGCAAGCATTAAAATGTGTAAACCGTAAACAGAAAATATACAAAGCAGTCCATTTTTGGATGTGAACTCCTAGGGGGGGTTGATGTTAGGGTTGGACCGATTCCCATTTCTGCTGTGTAATTGGCTCTTAGATCAATATAGAGTAAAAAAGTCCCAAGCTTATTATTGTTTTTGACATAATTTTATCGAACAAAAAAATTTATAAACATTAATAATTAATGTCAAAAACAATAAGCTCTTTTTTTTCTTCTATATTTGTCTAAGAGCCAATTACACAGCAGAAATTTGGAACAATATGAATCTAAAAGTGTGCTGATATTAGAGATGTATCGAATTTTCTGCCACCAATTCGTCAACCACATTTATGTTATGCCATTTTATCGACCCTCTCATTTATGTGACTTTATTTATTGCTAAGGTGCTCGTAAATCTGGAACCATTAACAACTTGAAATATATATTGTTATTGTTTAATATGGAAAATAATTATCGAGCTTTAATTTTTGCCACATCGCCCAGCCTAGTTGCTGCTTTGTTCTCTCTCTATTGACAGTGTATTTTTCACGCTTTCAAACTGGGGACTCCCATGTGGCCACAAGAGGGTGCTGTGTGTTCAAAAAAGTGGAAGAAATTAATACAGTTTTGTGTTGCTGTTGTTTTTTTGTTTGTTTGATTTTTTGTTTTTTGTTTTTACCAAACCAGAATATCTCATGGCTGAAACAATTTAAATAGAAGTCCATTTAAAATGTTTAACTTCATTCAATAATTTTCAATTTAGGTTCACTTCACGATCACTTCTTGTATCATGATGATATAAATAAAAACAGATGTTTATATAATAGATCTTAATATATTTTGTACATGTTTACAAAAATCTTATGAGATTCATAACATTTGATGTTGTTCTGTTGACCCTTTCAGTAGTAAGAATAAATAAACTGTTTTATACTGAAAAGAGTTTCCCAGAGATGGGTTGCAGCTGGAAGGGCATCCGCTGCGTAAAAACTTGCTGGATAAGTTGGCGGTTCATTCCGCTGTGGCGACCCCGGATTAATAAAAGGACTAAGCCGACAAGAAAATGAATGAATGAATGAATACTGAAAAGAGGCAGCTACACTGTTAACAAAAAAGAAAGTCTCTCAGGATAATATTTTAACCGTTTGTTATGGCTTTAGTTCATTATAAATATGTATTAAGCTAACTTTGTTTTCAACCACAATATTCGTTGTTTTCAGTCACTCAGGACAATATTTTAACCGTTTTATTGCGATAGTGCGTTATAAATGTATATGCAAGCTTACTCTTTTTTTCTACTACAATATTCGACGTTTTTGTCCTTTAAGACAATATTTTAACCGTTTGTTATGGCGTTCGTGCATTTTATAGTCTATTTAATACTATTTTTTCTGCTAAAATATTCGGTGTTTGCAGATATGAAAAAATAGAGGATAGGCTAGCTGTCATTTTAACTGACACATCATCATTTATACACTTTAAAATATTCATAAACATTAGAAGTATTTACATGTTACTTCAATGTACTCAAAAGAGCAATGCTGTCAACATATTAAATATTACAAAAAGTGTTGCTGATATGCGCGTCCGCAAAACACTTTTTGATACTTTCTGTCAACAAGCATACAATGTTATCTCGTGTGCTCGAACCCACCTTTCTCTGATAATCTCCAGTGGTTTGACTGTAAGGTTTAATTTCTCGTCTGAAACGCATGCCACTAGTTGACATCTCCTCAAACGCGCGTTACATCAACCGTGTCTGGTGCTCCAGCTTTATCGATATCTCCTATAGTGTGCTAGTGCACACTTGAATGCTTGATGATCCGATTAAAACGTGTGTCCTTTGATCCAAACGCTTTCGTTTATTCCCAATTCTCAGCACATCTGGAAACAAGCCCCGACGAGGAAGTGTATGAGTGGAGCTCTGTGCGTTGAGTCTTGAGTGTGTTTGCTGCCTGATGCTGAAGATCCTGCTGACGTGACGAACATCATCCATCTGGACACACTCGGGAGCAGCGCCCCGCTTTAACACATCACGAGAAACTGCGCTCAAAACTGCTTTCTTCTATCTGTCATGTTGCTTTACAGCAACTAATCCCATTTGAGATGTCTGTGCAATTACTGCGCAGTTCAGGCAGGCTTTTTGGAAACATTTTGGCTAATGTAAGATAAGATGTTTCTTTTTTTTTCTGAAACCCTGAGGGGAAATGATCAGCCTACGCGCTTATATTGGGGCAAATCATGTAGTCAAAAAATAACTGCAATCCTGTTAACTGAGGTTGCACAGTAGTATTTTTGAACCACACTTTAGTAAAATAGCCCACTTGAAAAATCTGTGGTGGCAATTAATAAACAAATTAGCCAATACTTTTTTCTACAACTAGGCTATTTGGAATATAGCTATACTGTGCATGATGACATAACTCTAAACAGCACTAAAATGTTCTGTGGTAGGGACTGAGTACAGTGGAGACACTTTTTGCTTTTTTTTAATCATTACACAAAAAGTAATTTCTGAAATTAAGTCATCGGTCTCGGACTCGATTCCTGGAGGGCCGCAACTCTGCACAGTTTTGCTCCAAACCTAATCAAACACAGATGATTCAACTAATCAAGGTGTTCGAGACTACTAGAGACTATTAAGCAGGCAAGGGCAGAGCGGACATTTTAGAAGTGGGAGGGACAGCTGAAAGAGATCCAAAAGTTTACTTTCTTATAATTAATAATAGCCTGTTTCTAAATGATTTCTAAAAATTGAAGGGGACCTATCACCATCCCCCCAGTTGTAAGCTGGTGTGAGTAGTTGAAACTTAAATCTGCTGCGGCCCTCCAGAAATCGAGTTCGACACCCATGATTTAAGTGAATTTTGACATATTTATTTTGATTGTCTAATATACATAATAGCCAAGTAGTTTATATTTTCCACAATTAGCTCACATAAGGTGGATTTTTTAAACTACCCTGGTACAATTAAGACACTTTATTATTGCTCTAAACCTGCCTAAATATATATTACAAACTTAATAATTTAGAAAAGTGCAGATCCCACTGCAGGTTTATTAAACAGAGATGGTCAGGCAAGCAATGGTCAACACAGGAACAAATAGATGTCTACGGGCAATGCAGAGTCGTGGGCAATAAACAGGCAGATGGTCAAAAGGCAGGCAGCAGACAACGTAAACAAACAGTTAAACAAACAAAACAAAGCAAGGGTCAAAATCGGCAAGGCAAGGAAACCGCGTCGTAATCGGAAACAAACAGTAAAACAAAGAAAACAGAGTGAGGGTCAAAACAGGCAAGGCAAAGCAAGCAACCACGTTGTAATGTTCACAATTCACAATAACAAGACTCAACAACGTGTGTGTGTGTGTGTGTGTATGTGTGTGTGTGTGTGTGTGTGTGTGTGTGTGTGTGTGTGTGTGTGTGTGTGTGTGTGTGTGTGAAAGGTGTATAAATAGTCTCTTTAATTAGTTCTGAATAGCTTTAGCTGTGTCTGTTTGCAATCATGGATGCAGGCCAGGTGTGTGAGTGGTGCATGACTGGATATGTCGTTGTTTTTGGATAGATCGCAGGTGACTGTGACATAAACAATACAGGAACAAGATATTTAATACTGAAAAAGATCTAGCAAAAAGCACAAAATGTAAACATAACAGTAAAAAGAGCATGATATGTAACCCAACAAAAATAGAAAACTGACTTTTATGTAGATTCAGTGATTGTTGACTTCCTCGCAAATATACTCATGTCATTTATCTGTTATTTTGTCTGTTATGTGTGTTGCATAATTTCCATCCATACTTCAAGCATTGAAGCATTGATTTCAAGCCTATAGGCAAATAACTGAGAAAGTACCAATCTGAGGCAGCATGATGTCATCCTGTAGACTTCTCACAAAGTATTTTACAGTATTTTAAAATACAAATTTAAAAAAGTATTTTGATAAAAAATATAAACCCATATTCATAATATAAAAATTACAAAATCCTATGTATATGTATTTAAAATATAGAAAACAGATTTTTCTCTAGATTATTCTTGAGTGTTATTACATATACACACATACACATGTGTGTGTGTAAGCATGACTTGTATCCTATTATCACAAAACAAACAGCATGTATACCAATTCGTGTGTCTCAACTGTACCCCCCTGCTCACATGTGTCTCTAGATTATGAAAAACACTTGCATGGCACAATGTCATAGCATTTGCAATGATATACATCAGGTTTACCAGGCAGGAATAGATCATAACCTATTATTTGTGAAACAGTGTGAAATTAAAATTTTACCTTGTAAAAAAACCTTTTTTCAAAACATTCAAATTTCAAACGATATAAGAGAATGCTAATATGCATGAGCAGGGCAAATATTACTGCAATTTTTTTGTGTGTGGACGCAAGATAAGATGTTTCAACTGTACCCATGTCTCAAAGGCTATAAACTAAAGTATGCTACCTTATTTATTACAATTTGCTCACTACAGTTATTACTACAGAATGGTATAACATTCTGCATACTGCAAACGGTTGACCATATTTTGACTGTTTAAAGTAATGACTGTTAAAGTCATTTAAAGAATGACCATTTTAAATAATTGCTTGCACACACAGCAATGTTGGTTTACAAAAAAATCAAACAAACACAATCCTGTTGTACTACTACACTTAAATTAGATTTTGTTGTAAAAAAAATTACAAACAAGAACAAGAAATCGTGTTAAATGAGAATCTGAAACATTTTATGGCATACTTAAAAAAAATTGTATTATTCAAAATGTTTATTTTGAGTATTTTTTAAGATAAATTGGCCTTACTGTTCATATTTTCATATTTTTTTTATAGTATATGTATTAATTCCGGTACTTTTACCATAAACCGACATATCAACCATTTTAGAGGTTGATATTTTAGAAATAATGGGATGTGTTAAAAAATATGAGTGTGTTAACTAGCGACATTAAGAGTTAATTTTGGATCTTGGTGGGGTAGTTAAAGTGTTAACAAAATGTTGCCTAGTAAATTTTGTATAAGTGCTGCAATGTTAAAAAAACATTTTATGCCCATCAGAAATGACGTCATTAAAAATGTCTTGTTAACTGATAAGCAGACAGGTACTGTATGTAGCATATTTGCTATGTTGTCATTATCGAGTGCCTAACCTATTCAGTCAGTGCTGCCAAACCCCTTCAATGACAATAGATAAAGCCTGCTTGATTTATTCAGTGATTCATTTTATTTACGGTAATGCATTCTCCTTTTTTTCCGTTTATTTATTTTGTGTGTGTGCTTGTGTGTGTGTGTCTCTGTGTCTGTGTGTGTGTGTGTGAAACTTTAGAGATTTGAGGTTATGGTTCCATCTGTTCTGTCTTTTCTAATAAAAAGTATTTTTTGCTATTTTTACAGTCTATTCATGCAGACAAATTTCCTGTTCTCATTAAGGCTTCATATTTTTTATATATAGTTAGACACTGCAGCCCATTAAGACTATATGCCCTCCCTTTCAGTCTGCTGATGAGCACTGCTAAAATCTAAGTTCATAAACAAAATAAAATGTCTGACAAAATAAATTACCGTGCACATAAGTGGTGTGGTTTTGGTTATATTTGCTTGTGAAAATAATTGAACAGAAAGAATGTTGCTAACAACTGAAAGTCTTATTTGGTTAGCTTGTTAAGCATAAACAGAAAAATATCTACAGTGCTCATGAAGCTTAAATGAGTAAACCCCATTTTAAAAATGAATAATTCTATCCATTTCTCAGTAAATATGGGCAATGTATTCTGGTGCATTTAAACGAAACAAATTTATATACAGATATATTTATTAAAATAATATTTTAGTCACCAAACATAACAGAAATTGACAGATAACACAATTAAATTCTCAAGCAAAATATTGCAAGAAAAATAACAACCTATTTTTTTTGCTTCTCTTGATTTTTCCTCTTTTTAAAATTTGTATTTAATATTTTTCATCATATAAATTTGGCTGTACTAGGTTTTGGATCGTTATCGTAAATTATTTTGTTAGATAAGCTCCAGATTAGTCAGTACTTTAATGTGTTTGGACAAATATAATATTGTATAGCTTTCTATTAAAAATATCAATGTAAAAGAGAAATTTGTGGTGGGGTGTACTTATAAATACTGAGCACTGTACATCACCTTTATTTTTCCTCAAATTCTGTTAATTTAGACATTCAAAGCCTCCCATATTGTCCTTGTCTCTTGCAGAGGTTTTATTTGTGTGTTTTGTTTTATCATGCAATATTGAATGATTGTACACCACAGTGCCCTATTGTCCTAAATAATGCTTTTTTAATTAAAAATTTTGACATATTGTCTTTCATATGCAATCACGAATGCAGCAATAATCCTGCCTGAGAGCAATATTCCTCCTCGCCAGTTTTATTTTAAGTCCTGTAAACATCTTATTATGAATATCCTCTACAACATGTGCTCATATCTCGTGTGTGTGTGCATATTAATTTTTATTTAGAGGTAGAGATTATTTTTTGCTTTTAAAAGATGTCTAATAGACATCTAAACATAGTCGTCTTGGCTAAAACAAAACTAAATTCGGGCTGTCAGTGAAAATTTAACAGACGTCTAAGAATAGGCCAAAACTAGACTAGTCATCAAATAAACAAAAATGAATGACTACACATATGTCTAATCAGTCTATTTGATGTCTGATTATGGGCTATTCTTAGATGACTTTAAGATTTTCACTGACAGTTTAGCCTTGTTTTAGCCAGGCTGTCTATGTTTAGATGTCTGTTAGACGTCTATTAAACACAAAATTGTTTACTAGGAATACACAAGGCATGTTCTACATCGGGTAAATGTTGCAACAACATGTTTACAATATATTTTTACATCAAATAAAACTGTTCAGCTTGTTTGTGAAGGCCTCCACAGTCCAAAGACATGCGCTATAGGTGAATTGACTAAACTAAATTTGCCGTAGTGTATGAGTGTATATGGATGTTATGGATGTAAAACATGTGCTGCATAAAGTCGGCAGTTCATTGCACCGTGGTGACCCCTGAAGAATAAAAAGACTAAGCCGAAGAAAAATAAATGAATGAATTTTTTTGGCATTCAAACTTGTATCTTTTACTGCTGCCCATTTTATACTGTATGTCTGTTAAGTGCCTTGAGATGCTACTTTTAAAGTAGTTATATATAAAAAATAAAGTTTATTACTATTATCATGAAGGTTTTACAGTCCTTCAACTACATTCTGAGCTTTTCAACAATAGTGTCAAGCTCCCTCGAAGATGTTTATTTCCTGTACTCTAACC